CAGTAAGCTGAGCCTAGAGCTACCGGTAGCGGGATTTTTTTTTTTTCCGAAAAACACGTCCCCGTCAGTGCTAGTGGTGCTGATAAGAGCAGCCACCGCTAACACCTGGGGGGGCTCCATCTATTGGTGGGGAGCGACACCTGCTGGAAACCGGGTCCAGCGTCCCTTACATGGACAGAATTCGAACCATATCATAAAAAGGAGATGCGGAATATACCTGCCAGCATTGATTACCCTGGGGTGCAGGGGATTGACTGAGCAGAATGTTTTGGGGGGGGAACCTCTTCATCCTGAACCTGGCGCCAGATACCTGCTGCTACACCCTAGTTCCTCCCATCCCCTCTCTGCCACAACCAACTTCATTGCCCCACCAGCTTCCCATTTATTCATTCAACTGTACCAGTCCGCTCTATAGCTGTGCATTGCCCATTCAGTCCGCTCCATGTCCACCGTTACCAGCTGGTGAGAAGGGCACAGGTCAGGAAAATCTGTTGCAGGTCTCAGCGGGATTTCCTGACCCACTGTAGTCCAATCCTTGAAGCAGATCCGGTAGTCTCTCCTGAACTCCTCCTGGTTGCACCCCTGGGCSGGCTTTCCATCCCATCTAACACCTGCAATCCAGCCCCCCTTCYCACTGCCCAACCAGTCCCCAGAGAATTGATGAATTGCTCGTGTTATATCTTGTGCTGAGTGAAACAGGTCGAGTCGGTTTTTAACCTTYTGCCACTGTACCATGAGTTCTTGCTGAATATATTGCTTTATTGTCTCTGTTACCTCTTCCCCTTCTATGTGGACACCCTCAATGATATGTGTGCAGCGTTTTCTCCAGACGGCCCACATCACCGCCCTTCTCCCTAACCTGAACATGTTGTTTTCAAAAGCATTTTCAGTGGGGGAGGACCATGCTTCACATAGTATGGCCCTCCAATCCCATGGCCAGTTAGACTCTGTGGCCAATAGGCTCCAAATCCTGTCCCACCATTGCCACGTGAGAACTGCCCCTAGACACTGCATTAATATATGTTCTATGGTTTCCGGAATTCTGCGGGAGGGGAATGCAGTGTGGCACGATTTACACCATGGTAACACCTGCCCCTTTTGCTCCAGCTGTGTACGCTCTATCAGCCAATTATTCGTGGGCAGGCAGCGATGTTCAATCTGCCACTGCAGCGAGGCCATCTTCGCT